TGCCGACTGGGGAGAGGGCCCAAAGTGCAACAAGTCACACCAGGTGTTTTTCTACCTGGAGTTTTAGGAGGAGTAAGTAACCTTTCTGGGATCTAGTCTAAGGCAAATGAAACCAAACCTGACCCTTTCCCAAAATTCAGCCTGAAATTGCTCCCAAGAATCACTCCTGGCAGCCTAGTAGAGCAAGAAAGCACAGACCAGCTGTGAGGAGGCTTGGGTGTTGGTTCGGCTCTGCCACCGTGGAAACTACTGGTGACCTTGGTCTCTGTCTCTGAAGTGACGGCAGTGGGACTGGAGATGATCTATCCCTGACACCCACTCTGGCTCCAACAATGACTCTGACTCACAACAGAGGCGTGCACAGCAAGTATGATTTTCTCTCCTCATCTTCTTTTCTGCCCATCACCATTTCTCCTTATGCCCCAAATCACATTAATTCACCAGTTAATCGACAACTATCCCGGGTTGCAGTATCCTCCAAAGTGTGGTGAATCTCAGGCTCATTTGGTGACAGCAGCAGCTGCCGCTCTCCTCAAACCACATCCTTCCCCTTCGTCACGAGGCCTCCTCACTAGCCACAGTTTGCCTTGGCTGGAGCTCCCTCTGCGTCAGCTTCCACCAGAAACTGCCACCCATACGCAGAGTTCTAGTGCATCAGCCTCTCTGAAGAGGATCCAGCTGGCCAGAGCAGCGTTCCAGGTGGTCAAGAGCAAAGAATTTCATGGCACTGCAGGCATATTAAAGCTGAAAGGGAGCACAAAACGCATCGAGGTCGATAGACTCCCACTTACAGATGAGGACACTGAAGCCCAGACAGGTTTACGTATGTGAAGTGGCCTAGTCACAGCTAGAACCAAAGTCTATTGACTCAAAGGCCAGTTGTGATTTTGAAATGACTGACTGAAATAGAAGCAACTATGTGTGGTGTGCTCCATGCCAGACACGGTGCCAAGAGACATCTTAAAAGTTAACACATACAAACCTGAACTCAGGATCTTTTCTCCAAAAGTGCTCTTCCTGTCCTCCCACCTTCAGCGGCACCCCCACCCATTTCGCTGCTTCTGCCAGGAACTTGGGACTTGAGTTCTTGACACCTCCCTCTTCTCACAACTCCCCCACATAAAACTTGCAAGTTCTGCCGTTTCTCTAAAGCACATCTTGAATCTCTCCAATTTCCCCCACAATCACTATCTCCACACTGGTCCAAGCGACCTTTGCCTCTTACCTGGACTACGCTCAAACCTCTGCTCTCATATTCCACTGCTACCATTCCCATCACTGTCAATTCATTCTCCAACCAGAATCCAGGGTAATTCTGTGAAAACACAAACCAGATCATGCCATGCCCACCCCATTCCCACTGTCACTGTGTTAAACTCACAGTCTTCCTTATACACTTAAGATGAAGCTCAGATTTCTAGAAGGCCCTGCCTAGTCTGTAACATCTCCAATCTCATCTCACCCCAATCCTCCACAACTCTCTAAGTCCTACCAACAATTCTTACAGGTCCTCCAGAGTTCCACATTCCTTCCAATTACAGGCTGTCCTTTGCATGAAATGCTCTTCCTTCTTCTCCTAGCCTGGCTTACTTCATACCATCTTTCAGATCTCAACTGAAACACGCCTTCCTCAGAGGAACCTCCCCTAAGAGCTTGTCAGGAGCCACTTCTTCTGAGTAGCATTTACCAGTCTGTAACACTATACTTTTCAGAGAATTTGTTTAATATGCAATTTCCCAACAAGACTATAAACCCCATGAGGACAGGGACCGTATCTGTTTGTTCACTATTGTAGTCACAGAATTTAGTGGCAGCCACATAGCAGGTCCTAAATAAATTAATTAGTTTGAATTAATATATTTATGCTCTTAACACTTATTAGATTATATCAGGACAAGGAGAAGATATAGGAGATACGGAAAATATAGGAGCCATAATATTTAATGAATTCATTTGGAGCAAATGGAAACTGTGATAATGTGCTGAAAAATGTCCCCCCAAAATATAGTTATGGCTTCCCAGGTGGTTCAGGAGTAAAGAATCCGTCTGCCAATGCAAGAGACACAGGAGACCCTGGTTTAATCCCTGGGTCGGAAAGATTCCCTGGAGAAGGACATGGCAACCCACTCTACTATTCTTCCCTGGAAAATCCCATGGACAGAGGAGTCTGGTGGTCTATGGTCCACGGGGTCACAAAGAGTCAGACACATCTGAGCACACAAAAGATATCTATATCCTAATTCCTGAAACCTGTGAATGTCACTTCATATAGCAATCAATAAACAAGGAAAAAAGGGAGCAGGTCTTTAGAGAGGATTAAGTTAGACTCTTGAGGTGGGGAGATTATTATCCTGGATTATCCAGACCAGCCCTACATGCAATCACAAGTGTTCAAAAAGAGAAAGGCTGAGGGAGATTTAACACACAGAAGAAACAGGGGATATGATAACAGAAAAGAAAGGTATTTGAAGACGCTGGTCTTGAGTGACGCAGCCACAAGTCAATAAAAGTTGGCCACCAACAGAAAGTAAAAGAGGCAAGGAACAGATTGTCTCGTACAGCCTGAGGAGGCAATGTGGCTCTGCCAACACCTTGATTTCATCCCAGTCACTCTGGTTTCAGACTTTTGGCCTCCAGAACTGTGAGAGGATCAATTTCCATTGTTTTAAACCAACAACTTTGTGTTAATTTGTTATAGCAGCTATAGGAACCTAATACAGAGTCCATCACATTATTCTGCTACAACACAGTGGTTATACTGGAGGAAGTTCTACTCTCTCCCTATGTTCCCCATCTGAATCACGCCATAGACTATTCAGCCACGGATAAAACATGGCACCTCCATTCTCAGCACCATCTCTACTCCATATTCCCAAAGTCAAGAATTAGCGATAAGGAAAGAGAAAACCAAACAATGGACCACCAAGGATAAAAATGCTACAAAGCTCAGGACTTATGTCCAACCCAAAGTAAACAATGTCTTAATACTGCCTCCAAAATGTTTTCAGATCCACAGTGATTCTTCTGTTTTCACTTATACAATACACTAAATTTATCTATAATAGATAAACAACTACCTTCAAATACCTAAAGGATCATATTCCATGACATTTGAAGGCCTTGTACTTTCAAATCTATCTTTCAGCCTATCTGGGGTCATGGTTTTTGCCCCATATATTAAAGGTATGGATTTGGCAAAGTGATAGCATATATGTCCTGGTTCAAGACAATCTATAATTTTGTAAGACAAGATGCTGAGAACTACACATTTTCAATGACATATTTTAGCTCATTAGAAGTCAAACACTACTTATGAGGTGATGTGTACTGTGAAGAAATACATTTTAACATACTTGTAATATTCCCACTTATATGCAGAGTACATCATGCCAAATGCTGGGCTGGATGAAGCATAAGCTGGAAACAAGACTGTGAGGAAAAATATCAATAACCTCGGATACACAGACACCACCCTTATGGCAGAAAGTGAAGAAGAACTAAAGAGCCTCTTGATGAAAGTGAAAGAGAAGAGTGAAAAGGTTGGCTTAAAACTGAACATTCAGAAAACTAAGATCATGCATCCAGTCCCATCACTTCATGGCAAATAGATGGGGAAACAGTGGAAACAGTGACAGACTTTATTTTTGGGGCCTAGAAAATCACTGCAGGTGGTGATTGCAGTCATGAAATTAAAAGATGCTTGCTCCTTGGAAGAAAAGAGATGAACCTAGACAGCATATTAAAAAGCAGAAACATTACTTTGCCAGCAAAGGTCTGTCTAGTCAAAACTGTGGTTTCTCAGTAGTCATGTATGGATGTGAGAGTTGGACTATAATGAAAGCTAAGTGCTGAAGAATTCATGCTTTTGAACTGTGGTGTTGGAGAAGACTCTTGAGATTCCCTTGGACTGCAAGGAGATCCAACCAGTCCATCTTAAGGGAAACCAGTACTGAATATTCTTGGAAGGACTGATGCTGAAGCAGAAACTCCAATACTTTGGCCACCTGATGCAAAGAACCGACTCATTGAAAAGACCCTGATGTGGGAAAGATTGAAGGCGGAAGGAGAAGGGGACGACAGAGGATGAGATGGTTGGATGGTGTCACCGATGTGATGGACATGAGTTTGAGTAGGCTCTGGGAGTGGGTGCTGGACAGGGAGGCCTGGCATACTGCAGTCCATGGGGTTGCAAAGAGTCAGACACGACTGAGCAACTGAACGGAACTTACTATTTCCACTCGGAGGACAGGGATAATAGCTCGCTTGCTAGAGCAGCCATCTTGCTATTATTTCATTCAGTGCCTCCAGATGGGAAAAGGATATTAAGTCATTGGAAATTAATCCTGCTAAAGGAAATCAGAAATTTTCAAAGCTGTTGTCAATATGGCTCTGCAGTTTAAGATGAACATACGTGAGGTAAATTTCAGAGCAGTTAAAATCTGCTTGAAGAAATGACTATCATAAGAGCTGTGTAAGAGAGCATAAAGAGAACTTTAGATGATAAGGGGGAGAGAGAAAATGTGGTTGAGGGAATTCAGTGAGGTAACTCAATGCTGCCCAATTTTGACAGAGGCAAGGCAGGAAGGTGAGGATATTTTAATGTAAGAAAATTTCCTGAGCAAAGGTGCTTCTCAGACAGTGCAGGACATAACTGGGAATCAGTTAAAACTATTAAAAATATTTCACTTATCATAATATTTAGAAAGTAGGAAATAATTTTGGAGATCACTTAGCTCAGCTGCCCCATTTTACAGATGAGAAACTGAAGCAAACATGGGCTAGGTCACTCTCCCAGGGACAAGTAGCTGTCAGGTGGCCAAGCTGGGATGTATACTCAGGTCAGATGGGTGTGCAGACTGGGTCAGATGGGGATGCAGACTCAGGTCAGATGGGTGTGCAGACTGGGTCAGATGGGGATGCAGACTCAGGTCAGATGGGTGTGCAGACTGGGTCAGATGGGGATGCAGACTCAGGTCAGATGGGTGTGAAGCCTGAGTCAGATGGGTGTGCAGCCTGGGTCAGATGGGGATGCAGACTCAGGTCAGATGGGTGTGCAGCCTGGGTCAGATGGGGATGCAGACTCAGGTCAGATGGGTGTGCAGCCTGGGTCAGATGGGGATGCAGACTCAGGTCAGATGGGTGTGCAGCCTGGGTCAGATGGGGATGCAGACTCAGGTCAGATGGGTGTGCAGCCTGGGTCAGATGGGGATGCAGACTCAGGTCAGATGGGTGTGCGGCCTGGGTCAGATGGGGATGCAGACTCAGGTCAGATGGGTGTGCAGACTGGGTCAGATGGGTGTGCAGACTGGGTCAGATGGGTGTGCAGCCTGGGTCAGATAGGTGTGCAGACTCAGGTCAGATGGGTGTGCAGACTCAGGTCCAGCACTCTGGGTGCTCTGCCTCTCACTTACTTCAGACATTAGAGATGTGTCTACTAGCTTAAATAATGACAAATTGCCTACTATTTCTTAGAGGCACATTAAGTGTTAAGTACTGTCAGCCTATTCTATTGATATAATGAGCTATTTCAAGCTGATTGCTTTTTACCCGTTCTTTTTAATAGGAACTTCAAACAGACATAGCACCCCTATCATCTTCCTGCTCCTCCTTTACCCTTTGCCTCCCCTCAATCTCCTTGGTGGTAGATAGCTAGTTGATCAAATGATCTGTTTCCGTTGAGACTATACTGGTTTCACAGCCGAGTCATCACTGGCCACACTGAAGACTGCAGCCTGCCACGTGGCTGCACCTTTGCTGAGTGAGGGCAAGTGCACGCTGGCCCGTGGGCATGGGGCCTCAGGCACACGCACCAGATGAGGCATGTGCCCAGCCATCACACTCAGGAGCTCTAACCTCTCTGCTGCTGTGCCCCCAGCCCAGAGGTGCTGGCCTGCCCAGCGAGGGCTGGCTTCTTGACCTGTGATAGACACAACTTAGGATGTGAGTGACCTGAAGCCATGGACCCTGTAGATGTCCCTTTTCTGAGTTCTTCTATTCATGCTTCCTCAGTGGTGAGTCATGGCCATCTGATGACAGCTGTGCACCTCTCCTTCACCATATATTCTTTCAGTCTCACTCCAGACTCCAAGAAGAGGACACCTGTGACTTTGCATAATGGAGTTTTTATAAGAATAATTTGCAAATATATTTTGTCTATCTCTAGGCCATCATTTATCAAGCCCAGTGGGAATCTAATCCACACACCAACCACCAGTTTTAGGCAAATTAAAAATAAAATTCCTCACAATGAAGGATAAACTAAAACATGATACTAAAAAAATCATTATTTGGGACTTCCCTAGTGATCCAGTGGTTAAGAGTTTACCTGTCAAAGCAGGGGACACAGGTTCAGTCCCTGGTCCAGGAAGGTTCCACGTGCCTCTGAGCAGCTAAGCCCCTGCGCCACAACTACTGAGCCCATACCCGAGAGACCACAGGCTGCGACTCCAGAAAACCTGTGTGTTCTGGGGCCTGTGCTCCATAGCAAGAGAAACCACCACAACGAGGAGCCAGCACAATACAGTGAAGAGTAGCCCCCACTTGTTGCAACTAGAGGAAGCCCACACACGGCCCCCAGAGCCAAAGAATTGATGCTTTTGAACTGTGGTATTGGGAAGACTCTTGAGAGTCCCTTGGACTGCAAGGAGATCCTAAAGGAAACCAGTCCTGAATATTCATTGGAAGGACTGATGCTGAAGCTGAAACTCCAATACTTTGGCCACCTGATGTGAAGAACTAACTCATTTGAAAAGACCCTGATGCTACAAAAGATTGAAGGCAGGAGGAGAAGGGGACAACAGAGGATGAGATGGTTGGATGGCATCACCGACTCAATGGACATGAGTTTGAGTAAACTCCGAGAGTTGGTGATGGACAGGGAGGCCTGGCGTGCTGCAGTTCATGGGGTCACGAAGAGTAGGATGCGACTGAACTGAACTGAACTGAACACACAGCCCCCAGCGCAGCCAAAAATAAACAAACAAAAAGTTTAAAAATCATTATTTAAAATATGTTCATATCCGTGAAAGGGATGATGTAGTTTATAAGTCTTAGTTAATGTATGTCTGACATTATGTCTATAATGATAAGTTATTTTGTTATTACATATATAATGACAAATAGTTTGAGCTGTCTTCTATGTAGTTTCTTTTCTTACGTTTTGTTTCTACTAAATTAAAATGCTCACATGGAGAGATTGTCTGAAAGGGCCACAAGTGTTTGGAGGCTCTGTCATATATATTTGGATGTTCACATTCAGTGTAGTCCTAGAAATTCTGGGATGATTTCTCACCAAGGACTTCTTTCAGTGCTAGTAAACATAGACTGACAGGCACATTATATTCAAGAGGTAGAAGACTGGACTGAATATTCCATCAGGATTAAAGCAACAGATGCCTAATCTACCTTTCAGTTGCATTTGGCAAGCATGTTGCAGCATTTGTGTGTGGTTTTGGCTCAGCTGGTAAAGAATCCACTCGCAATGTGGTAGACATGGGGTTGATCCCTGGGTTGGGAAGATCCCCTGGAGAAGGGAAAGGCTACCCACTCTAGTATTCCGGCCTGGAGAATTCCGCGGACTATAGTCCATGGGGTCACAAAGAGTCAGACATGACTGAGCGACTTTCACTTTCACTTTTTCATGCTATAGCCTCAGTTCTTTCACTAATGACTGAAGATCCGTACATTCAGCAAATATCTACTGAGCTACTGCAGACATAGCTAGGCATAGGGATACAGTGAGAGACAAGACTGGATCTCTGTCCTCACAGACTCACAAGATAACAGGATTGCTCATAAACATTAAATATCTTCATGTTCAGGTCCAAAATAGCATTTCACTTGAAAAAGCGATCTAAATAATAGAAATGGCTTTTACAGACACTAAACAGCATCACAAAGATAAGTTTTTAACTCATTCCACATTCTAAAATCTTTTGTGAGGCACCTTCACCTCCACTAACCTATTTGCTGCTCATTTTCTTCATATTGAGATAAATTGACACACTTTTCACTACTCTTTTCAACTACAATCAGGATTAAGAGTCACCGTGCAGATCACCCACTGTTCTCTGAGAATGAAATAATGTTGTTATTCACATTCTACTACAATTTCTTTTATTCATGTAGCAGTGTCCCTTCTCCTTCCTTACCTGTCACTATTGAGATTCCAACATACCTTTTCATTCTCTTTAATGGCTCACAATATAATCACTGACCAAAACAAACAAAACACTCTTCCCTATGACAAGGGTTTTCACTGAACAGATACTTATCAAGCAATTCTCTTCCATATGAGTACTGCACATGGATAAAGAGTTGATTCATAATCTGCACATCATTGGTTTTCCTCAAATGTAAAGTAAAAGATCTGGTAGCATGTACTATTGTATAACAGTAACTGCTTTTCCATACTTGTATCATGAATATTATGCAATATCCATTAGATAAAAGCATTTTGCCAAGAACCCTATTCTGCTCTCTCTGAGAATCACACTTGTCATTAACTTTAGAGACAATCTTAATGAGATTTCCAACATAGTGCAATTTGTGCCTGGTTTTCTCTATGTGGAGTATAGGACTAGTGTTATCCTAGTCATTTTGACTTCTCTGATTTCATTATAAAATTCATAAATTTAATTTTGAAAATCATGATTTTGAATATGTTTTGGAAAAACTTAATAGATTTACCTCTGTCTTGTTAAAAATGACAGAAAAGCTTCAATGACATCATGGCACTATTCGAAAAAAGGGCACTGTGAAATGGTGTTGAATGGACTACCAGTTCAATAAAATGTAATTTCAGATATTCACCATTATTTTTTCTTCCTTTTCTGGATGCTTATATTAAATCATGCTACTCAAGTAGTCATTTGTCACATCAGCTTACAAATGCATATTCTATCTCTATACTGGTATCCTGTTCAATATTTACTGTTAACATCATTATGAGCACTAGTATTTACCTGACTCATTCCATTCTACTTTTGTTCTTTACCACTGAGCCTTTTTAAAAATTGGTATATAATGAACGTAAAAAATGAAAATTTATGTGAACAAAAATGGCAGATGATGTAAAAATATGTCAACTAAGATGAACTTCAGTTAGCTGACCAAGAAATAGCCAAGACAAGGTGATTGATAGTCTTTTCTAACATACACAATCTTTAAGAGTATAAAGATTATTAAGAACAAGAATACTGTGAAAATGATAATTTTATTTCTAATTTATGAAACGTGTGTGAACAAAATGACCTTATTGATCTATTATCTGAAACTGTCAAAGCACCCATAGACCACTTGTCAGAATGGGCTGGGATAGGAGGGAATCCATTTGGGTCACACTGAGTAATTGCTCTCAGCTTTCCAGCTTGACTTAGGTTTGTGTAACACTCAGTCAAATACCTGTCATGGATTTCAGACTCATTGTCAACTCAAACTTAATCTCATGAAGAAGTATTTTTCTTCTCCTCTCATTCCTTACCCTATGTCCAACTTCTAGCCAGCCCTCCCATTACAGTTGGTCTACGCAGATTTCTCCTCAGCATCACAAGTCAGGAAGCTTGGGATAATCTCTGTTCAATTTCTAATATTAAAGTAGGGTCAAATTCTACTGCTATTCTTATAAAGACAGTAGTTCTCAATCTCCTTAGAATCACTTGGACAACTTTAACAAAATTAAAATGAACCATTGCCTACACGCCACAGCAGATCAATTTAATCAGAATCTCTGGATGGGGTTCAAATACTTATGTTTTTAAAAAGCCTCCCCAGTGATGCTAACAGGTAATCCAGATGAGAATCACTTCCATAAGCCATCTCCCACAGTAGAACTTCAATTATTGTGCCCACTGATCCTACCCACCTGTTGAGATCATTCTCTCTTATCAGGGCTACTGTGATAAGTTCCCTGCTGAATTCCCTGGATCCAATTCTGGATCCTCTTTACATCTATTGTTATCACGGTTCTTAAAATAGCCTTCAATATCTTTTCCTCTGGCTATGTCCTTCAGGACAATGGTCTCAACTTGACTAAACTCTGGAATCCACTGAGGCCTTTGAAACACCAACAGCCAGGCTGCATCCCACATTAAATAAATGATCACCTCTGGGAATGGGAACCAGGAATGTTAAAAATCAGCCAAGACAGAGAATCAGTACTCTAGGACTGCAGTATCTTTTGATGACCACCACAACTAGGTTAATCTAGGTACCATGATTGAGCTTGGTTTTGGGCTTCCTGACAGCCATTCTCAACAAGGAATTTTTTTTCTACTCAAGAGCTCATGCTCCACTGGCAGAGACAAACTTGAAAAACTAATCTTTAAATCACAGTGACATTAAGTGCTGTAACAGAAATATTAAGTCCTCTACAGGACATAAAGGAGGGAGCAGTGAGTAAACAGTCTACGATACTAGGGAAGGCTCCTCAGAGGAAATTATACTTGAATGGGATCTTAAGGGTCATCAGGCTCAAAGAGAATGGGGCAACAGATGTTTTCTCAGAAACATACATTCACCCTTTCAAATATTTTAATTAAAATTTTTATTATTGACACACTCTGATACATAATTTTTCTCTTAGGTGATTTTGATCAGTTAGTACAGTTTCAATCTGTTTTTTTCATTAATATTCTTAATTGTCACAACCAGAGGTACATTTTTATCTTGTATTTTTCTGTGAGTTTACTTTGCTTTTTTAATAGAAATTTTTTTCTATTTTTTAAAAGAAAATAATTTTTAAGCAATTTTATGTTCAGAGCAACACTGAGCAGAAAGTAGATTTCCCATATATGCCCTGCCCCCACACATAGCCTTCCCCACTATCAGCACCCCCCACACCACAGGGATACATTTGTTCCAACTGATGAAACTACCTAAGTTCCTTACATCCTTACCTCCCAGAGTCCATAGTTTACATCAAAGTTCACTCACTATACTTTGTCCAAACTCACAGAATGCTCAGTAAAGTTGTACATCCTATGAGTTTAGACATAGTGATATGTATCCACCAGTATAGTATCATACAGAGTAGTGATAGTTTCACCACCCTAAGATCCTCTATGCTCCGCCTAGGATGTGTATCAGCTTCCTCTGTAGGCTAGTGGAAAACTGGCTGTCACAACGCTAAACATCACATCCAGAGTGATAAGATCAGCGAAAGAAGAGAGGTGACTTTTCCTGTGTGTCTGTTTCTCTCAGTGAAGAAACCTTTCTCAGAAGCCCTTGGAAATCCTCAGATTTCCTCGACCAGAATCTTGTCAAACATTGTCTTGCTTAGCCAGATTCTTGGGAAGGGGAAAAGGGACACCAAGTTTGATTTAGATGAGCCAGGACTGACTCATGGAAATGTGGACAGGATTCACCTTCTCTAAGACACATAGGGAGATGTAAACAACCAAACAAAATCAAAGATTTTCTAGCAAGGAAGAAAGTGGGACAAGGTTTTAGGCAGGCAACCAATAGGTTGGTTCAGGTTTGCATCATATTAGAAACAGGCTGTAGAGTGTAGTGGTCAAGGATATACACGCTGGAGTCACAGGCAGTGAGCTTATATTCCACTGAACCAATCGCTATCTAGCTCTCTGGGCTTCAGTTTTCTTCTTTCTGAAAAAAGGAATAATTAGAGTTCCTAACTCAGAGGATTGCTGGGAGGATTAAATCTATAGTGCTTACAATACTCGAGCACACATTAAGGCTTAATACCTGTTACTGGCCATCTCCACAGCCTCTGTAACAGGCTATAATAGCTAACAAGCAGGGACATGCCCAATTAGGCATTCAATAAGTTCATTTTGTTTTTCGCATATTAATAGCTTAATTAAAAGGGCCATTTCTTCTTATTGGGCTTCCCTGGTGGCTTAGACGGTAAAGAATCTGCCTGCAATGCAGGAGATCCTGGCTGGGGAAGATCCCCTGGAGAAAGAAATGGCTACCCACTCCAGTATTCTTGCCTGGAGAATTCCATGGACAGAGGAGTTTGGCAGGCTACAGTCCATGGGGTCACAAAGAGTCGGACAAGACTGAGCAACTTTCACTTTCTTCTTATTACTAGTATAAAGTTGTTACTGACTAAAAGTAGGTACAGTTGGAAATACTTCAATAAGCCATTGCTCCCTGGAAAATATATTAGAGAAATATAATAATAATAATTATTATTTATAATGAATATTTATTGAGCCTTTACTTACTGTGTGCTGGAGACTGCTGTAAATGTCTTACATGCATTATCTCATTTAAACCTAAAACTAATTTATGGAGTCAGGCTTATCAGTAAAACATTATTAAAGCTAACCTCAAGCTAAATATAGCTTTATCTTTAAAGTATAAGTGTTTACACAGCATAATGTCAAATGAAAATTTGAGAGGCCTAATTTCTAGTTCTAAGATATGTTTTTTCTCCTTCCCATGATCTCTACCCTTACTTTAACATTGCTGAAATCAGGATGCATCTTACATTCTGTGCTTATGCTTACCACAATAACGTGTGTGTGTCCCACTATTATTTACTTGGTGACACATTGATAAAAGGGAGGAAGCACAGCAGTTCCAGCCATCAGGGAGTCAGGCTCCATGTTTTACTCATTAACCCTCATTAACCAAATATATGCTGCTTAGATGCTCTCTTCCACAAAGGGCCTTAAAAGGGGAACTCAGTGACTAATTACAGTATTACATTCCCCCTGGAGCCAGTAGCCAAATAATTTCCACTTTAAGTGGTAGAAATTATGTGAAGCAGTTAGGGCTTGAACATTAAAGACTAAGTCATATGTCCCCAATCCTGCAGGTGGTTCATGGTCAAGATTTACCACTTTGCTTCAGTTAGGAACCAAGTAAAGCAGTGAAAATTCAAGGACACCATTTAAATTCTGGATCTATCATTAATTTGCTGGGTGCTACGGGCAGTTACAGAAATGCCCTGGGCTCTCATTCTTCATCTGTTAAAGGATATCAACTGTCCCTACAGAACGTCTAAGGATATTAAGAGTAACTAATGAGATTGTTTTGGTTCCAACATAACTCAAATTTTCTCCCACTCATATCTGTTTCCTCTTTTACCACACACGAAGGCCCCAATGTCCCACTCCGTGAATGATTCAACCTATTAAGGAAATCAGCTGCTCGCCTTGCAGCTAATAACATAGTTCTGCTTCATTACTTCTTGAATGAATTTCATTTTCTTCAATCTTCTATAAGACTCTATTCAATTTCAAAAAGGTAGGTATTAACAAGAAATCGACAGCACAAAGAATAAAAGAGAGATGTCACCTGGTTGATGGCAAAGGCCTCTGACCGTGGCTTTTGTGGGAAACAGAAGCAATCAACATAGAGCTCTTCTACCATCCTACCTGTACCCACTCCACACATGCCTTCTCTTCTGTGACAGTGAGGGAACCTTTTCTGTGCCCATCAAAGATTCACTACTCTTTTTTTTTTTTTCTCCAGTTTACATACGATATAAACGCTTTATTAACAGATCATCCTGGTGGGCCACGGCGTCAACCCAGACATCCAGCACCCAGCCACAAGTTCGCCGCAGCCTCCGAGCCTCTCGCTCTGACTCCAATGGGGTGAGCGCGTCGCCCTCGCGCACCGGGCCTTTCACGTTTCGGATGATGGAGCGGCTCGTGTCGTCCATGAATTCTATGCGCACCCGTGTGCACTGTCCCTGAGAACCAGTCCTGCCCAACACCTTGGTGACGCTGGAAAGCTTGATGCGCTGCACACGGCTCATGTCCATGATGGCGGCGTGGCGGCGGTCGGGCCAAGAGCTCACTACTCTTATTATAGAGCCCCCTTCCTTCTCACCACAATGATGCATATAGTTGCTGCCAACATCACCTGTCTTCTCATTCTCTCCTTTCTCATCAATTTCTTCCTCTTTACTCAGACCTCATCAATCTACCAACATGCTCTGATAAAGTCTGTCCTTAAAACATCCCCTCTTGACTTCACATCCTTAACCATAAACTTCCCTATTCCTCTGCTCTCTTTACAGGACTCCTTCAAAGAGCCTCCTCACTAGATATCTCAACTTACTTTCTAACTCCCTCCCAATTCTCTCCCTAACTCCTGCCAATTAGACTTTCCTTCTCACAATGTTATCACCATTGTTCTCTTTAAGGTTACTAGTGACCTCCACTGGACCAAATCCCATAGTCAATTCTCAGGGCATGTATATTTCATGTCCAGTGGCTGATGCACTTGGTTATCATGTCTCAGTTCTCATCCCTCTTATCTTCTTTTTCTATCTTCTTCCACAATGTGCTTTTCAGTTCCATGACTTTAAATACCACCTGAATCCTGAAGAACCCCTCCAAATTAATATCTCCAGCTATGAGCTTCCATTTGAATTCCAGCTACATTTCCACTTAGACATTTCAAACTCAACAAATTTAAAATCAATCCTGATTTTCTCTAACAACCTTATTCTTTCCCTGATATTTCCACCTCAATAAAAATAACACCACTTTTTTTTCTCAGACCCTAAAACTTGAAATTGTCCCTGATTCCTCTTTCTCTTACATCTTACATACAATTCACTCTAAAATTTCACTAACTTGATCTTCAAAATGTCCCAAATTTGAACACTTCTCACCTCATCTACTGTTACCATTCTAGTCCAAACTACCATTATTTCTCACAGATTTCTCTATTAGCTTTCTAATTTGGATACCTGCTTCTGCTCTTACCCTTCCCTATCTTCCAAACACAAATAACAAGCATCTACCCAGAGTCACATTTTCAAGGTATAAATCAAATTGTGTTACTTACTACATAAAACCTAAAGATGGTCCCCCCATATCACTCAGGACAAAAGACCGAGAAGGCCCTACAAAACTGTGTCCTCTGTAACTTCTCCAATGCACCATCACTCTTTCCCTTGTTCATTCAACACCAGCTGCCTGGCTGTCTTTCAACATGCTAAGCATATTCTTACCTCAGGGACTCTGTCTCATCTGGCCTTCTGCCTTGCTTTGCTCAGGTCTGTGCTCAAATATCACATTATCAGAAAGTTTGATCTGAATCTGCCATCAGTTCAGTTCAGTCGCTCAGTCGTGTCCAACTCTTTGCAACTCCATGGACTGCAGCATGCCAGGCCTCCCTATCCATCACCAACTCCTGGAGTTTACCCAAACTCATGTTTGATGAGATGCCACCAAACCATCTCATCTTCTGTCATCTCCATTCTCCTCCAACCTTCAATCTTTCCCAGCATCAGGGTCTTTTCAAATGATTTAGTTTTTTGCATCAGGTGGACAAAGTACTAAAGTTTCAGCTTCAACATCAGTCCTTCCAATAAACACTCAGGACTGATCTCCTTTAGGATGGACTGGCTGGATCTCCTTGCAGTCCAAGGGACTCTCAAGAGTCTTCTGCAACACTACAGTTCAAAAGCATCAGTTCTTGGGTGCTTGGCTTTCTTTATAGTCCAACTCTCACATCCATATATGACTACTGGGAAAACTATTGCCTTGATTAGACACACCTTTATTGGCAAAGTAATGTCTCTGCTTTTTAATATGCTATCTAGGTTGGTCATAACTTTCCTTCCAAGGAGCAAGCATCTTTTAATTTCATGGCTGCAGTCATCATCTGCAGTGACTTTGGAGCCTAAAAAGTAAAGTCTGCTACTGTTTCCACTGTTTCCCTATTTATTTGCCATGAAGTGATGGGACTGGATGATCTTAGTTTTCTGAATGATGAGATTTAAGCTGACTTTTTCACTCTCCCCTTTCACTTTCATCAAGAGGCTCTTTAGTTCTTCTTTGCTTTTTGCCATAGGGTGGTGCCATCTGCATATCTGAGGTTATTGATATTTCTCCAAGCAATCTTGATTCCAGCTTGTAGTTCATTCAGCCCAGTTTCTCATGATGTACCCTGCATATAAGTTAAATAAGCAGGGTGACAATATACAGCCTTGATGCACTCCTTTTCCTATTTGGAACCAGTCTGTTGTTCCATGTCCAGTTCCAACTGTTGCTTCCTGACCTGCATACAGGTTTCTCAAGAGGCAGGTCAGGTGGTCTGGTATTCCCATCTGTTTCAGATTTCCCACAGTTTATTGTGATCCACACAGTCAGAGGCTTTGGCATAGTCAATAAAGCAGAAATAGATGTTTTTCTGGAACTCTCTTGCTTTTTTGATGATTCAGCGAATGTTGGCAATTTGATCTCTGGTTCCTCTGCCTTTTCTAAAACCAGGTTGAACATCTGGAAGTTCATGGTTCATGTATTAATGAAGCCTGGCTTGGAGAATTTTGAGCATTACTTTGCTAGTGTGTGAGATGAGTGCAATTGTGCAGTAGTTTGAGCATTCTTTGGCACTGCCTTTCTTTGGGAGTGGAATGAAAACTGACCTTTTCCAGTCCTGTGGCCACTGCTGAATTTTCCAAATTTGCTGACATATTGAGTGTAACACTTTCACAGCATCGTCTTTTAGGATTTGAAATAGCTCAGCTGGAATTCCATCACATCCACTAGCTTCATTCGTAGTGATGCTTCCTAAGGCCATTGGACTTCACATTCCAGGATGTCTGGCTCCAGCTGAGTGATGACACCATCGTGAATATCTGGGTCATGAAGATCTTGTTTGTACAGTTCTTCTGTGTATTTTTGCCACCTCTGCTTAATATCTTCTGCTTCTGTTAGGTCCATACCATTTCTGTCCTTTATTGAGCCCATCTTTGCATGAAATGTTCCCTTGATATCTCTAATTTTCTTGAAGAGATCTCTAGTCTTTCTCATCCTATTCTTTTCCTTTATTTCTTTGCACTGATCACCAAGGAAGACTTTCTTATCTCTCCTTGCTATTCTTTGGAACTCTGCATTCAAATGGGTACATCTTTCCTTTTCTCCTTTGCTTTTCACTTCTCTTCTTTTCACAGCTATTTGTAAGGCCTCCTCAGACAGCCACTTTGCTTTTTTGCACTTCTTTTTCTTGGGGATAGTCTTGATCTATGTCTCCTGTACAGTGTCATGAACCTCTGCCCATAGTTCATCAGGCACTCTATCAGATCTAGTCCCTTAAATCTATTTTTCACTTTCACTGTATAATCGTAAGGGATTGGATTTAGGTGATACCTGAATGGTTTAGTGGTTTTCCCTACTTTCTTCAATTTAAGTCTGAATTTCTCAATAAGGAGTTTATGATCTGAGCCACAGTCAGCTCCCATTTTGTTTTTGCTGACTGTATAGAGCTTCACCATCCTTGGCTGCAAAGAATATAATCAGTCTGATTTCGGTGTTGACCATCTGGTGATGTCCATGTGTAGAGTCTTCTCTTGTATTGTTGGAAGAAGGTGTTTGCTATGACCAGTGCGTTCTCTTGGTAAAACTCTATTAGCCTTTGCCCTGCTGCTTTCTGTACTCCAAGGCCAAATTTGCCTGTTACTCCAGGGGTTTCTTGACTTCCTACTTTTGCATTCCAGTCCCCTATAATGAAAAGGACATCTCTTTTGGGTGTTAGTTCTAAAAGGTCTTGTAGTTCTTCATAGAACAGTTCAACTTCAGCTTCTTCAGCGTTACTGGTCAGGGCATAGACCTGGATTACTGTGATTTTGAATGGTTTGCCTTGGAAACCAGAACAGAACAGAGATCATTCTGCCGTTTTTGAGATTTTGAATTTGCCATAAAAAATAGCAAATTTCCTCACTCTCAGTCCCTTCACCCTGCTTTATCCTACAGAGCACTTTCAAATACCTGACTACACAGTACATCTTTGTTTGTTTGTTTGTCTTCCGCAACAGAACTGCAGCTCTGTGATGGAATGGACCTTGTCTGTTCCAAGTCCCTGGAACAGTACTTGGCATATAGTAAGTGTTCAATAAATAGTTGTTAATTGACAGACTGAGTGAGTGATTAAATTCTTGGGCTTTTTTTTCTCCCCCTGAACGGGACACCTTTTTATTGCTATATTGACTGGCTCAGGTAATGTACACCCTGGCCTAAAAGGCTTCAAACTGAACTCCACTCCCATAGGTAACCCCTTCAGGGCCTGCTCTGGCTCCAGAGACAGCCCTGAGTAGGTCCATCTGCCTCCTGAGACCCTGAGTTCTTCCAGGGCACAGCCTGTAGATTTATCTTTCATCCCTCATGCTAAGGGTTTCTGGCACAAATTGTCTATTGAGTGTTTTCAGATTTAAATAATATGCTAGGTATGACTGAGCAACGCCATGGAGGAAAATAAATAGCCCAGATATCGTGAGTTGAAGCATTAACTGTACCTAGGTCTATTGAAAAATTATCTTCACAGCATAAATCTTTTCCATAGTGTAGGGCTCAACAATCAGACAGCAGTAATTGAAAGAAAATAACACTGAGACATATATAAAAAGACAGGAAGGTATACTGGAGGGAAACAAAAAGCCAAGTGCAAATAGTATAGTTCAGGTTATAAGAGAAAAAACTATGAGACAATATAATCACCTCCTTTCTGAAGAGTAATACAGTGTTCAAGAACCATAATTACTGCAGTAATACTAGACAAGACAAAAAGAGAGTCCTGGTCAAAGTGAATGGATTTTGTCTTTAACTTCCATAAAAAGCTTGGTTTCAAAGGCTCATGGGCATTCTCTGCCTGCTGCCCAACCTATCCAGTAGGCTGAGAGAGCAAGAATGATGATGATACAAACTAGACATTCATTCACTGCTTGAGTTTCTTCTAAATGCCAGACTGTGCTAGGCTCTGAGGACACAGATGAGAATAAGACACAGGAGACCATGAGCTCCTCGAACATTG